TAATGGTGGGAACTCTTCCAAGCTTGAATGACGTTCAGCAGTAGGGTTGAGGCTGCCACGTGGTGGTTAATGCATGAGTCCACAGCGGCGACAATCTTACCATGGGCCCAAAGAGTATTGTAGTCACATCTGCCGCTCCATGGATATATCTTAGGGCATGTGCTCAAGCTCCATGTAAATGTGGAGGATGGTAGAAAAGGTATCACCAGACGCGGTGCGGTGAAGTCTGGAACCCAAGAGCGCGTGGCTTTTGAAATCTTTTTCCTTGGTAATGTCTCAAAAATGTCCAGGCTCTTGGTGCCTTCGATGATGGAGCGTGCGGTAGCGATTAGAGCGTCTTGCAACGGAGCCTGATAAGACGGTTTCAGGCAAATCTGATCATTTTGATTCAAGCCGAAGAACGCATAGAGTTGATCCTGTTGTGTGGAAGTCCTTGCACTAGCGCTCAGAGTAGATAGCACCTGATCCAGTGGCATGGGACTCGTGTCTGAGGGTGTATGTCTCTCCGTCCAGCGATCATACATCTCTTTCAGCACGCCGTATCGAGAAGTCGTGGACAAGTCTTTCCATTTCTGAAGAGAGAATCGTACCACTGTGGGGTTCCAACACATCCATGCCACTTTACACAAAGTGTAGAGAGTGGGGAGTGCGAGCGTTACGTCCCGTCTGCATGAACGTTTGAAGCACGTTAGAATGAACGCCGATTTTCGTGGCAAAACCACTTCCTGAAACACCCAAGCTCGAGAGAACCATGGATTCTCAATAATTTCGTGGCAGAGAGCCAGGAGGTCCTGTTGCTGAGGCTTGCAGCAGATCAGGTTCTCGGTGATATTATCTTGGCATATTTGACATGATGGGTAATATCCGCCGCGTGCTGGTTTGGCGCTCTTTTGGCAGTCGCAAGGCTCTGAAGATGAGACGACATGGTCTAAAGATGAACATAGTGCTGCAAGGCTAACTGTTAGTGAAGTTGTTCGCCCCAGCCACACTAGCACGCGTGAGCACCTGGAGTATACGTCCCCCATGATCGAGACCTGCTGGGCTCGCTCGGAAAGGTCGTCTTGATTGATGCATATCTGATCGATCCAGAGATAGCCCGTGGAGCAATGGTTGGAAATGCGTGGCAAAGCATGTTTCAGGGTTTTGGTAGTTCGAAGTGATGTGCCGCCCGACAATGTAAGTAATTCGTTACGGATTGAAGTACCCCAGACATATGACAAAGTCTCATACTCTGGAGCGTCCTGGGTATTGGTAGTGATCAGCTCGTAATGCCATCTCGGCTCTACGACCGAATCTGCTTTGTTTGGTATGACCTTCAAAAGCCGTATGCTGTGAGGCGTTTCCAGGGCCTCGTAAGCGCATGTTCGCGACTCGGATCCCGTTTGCTTTCCAGATATCTCAATACCAAGGCGATGTAGTCGGGAGAGCATGGTTCTGAACTGTTGATTTGCCGTACACGTCCAGCTTCAGCCTCGTGACTACGATAGCAACGCCCGGGCCCGGGCAGAGGTAGCGATCAGCAGATCGCAACCAGATGGAAGAGCTTAGCGACAGCTGGAGGCAGCAGGGTTCGAATATCGCTGTCGAAAGGATTCGGGGTAGCTGTGATGATCGTGATTGCATGGAGGTAAGCTGCAAGCGCCACAAACAATAACACTGCGCGTCGCCTGTACGAGGCTGGCGCGGGGCAGTGCTACGGACGCGCCCCAAGCGGTGTAACATATCACGTGCATGGGCCGCATTGTCATTACTTCCTCATTGCTCTTTAGGCTGCGAATGTCACAAACCAAAGAAGCAGCGCATTGCGTCCGAACTGCGTGATCAACTCAAGGTAAGTGCTAGGGCGTTTCAGCAAAGAGGGAAAATTCTCTGAGGTGAATGCATTAACGCATGGCAGTGTTGTTGCGGCATTGCGCTCCATACCTAGTCAGTCGTTGTTCTAGCGCGTTTCGTGAACCATAATGGCATTATAAGACTCGCTAGTCATTTGAATTATATGTACGTACAGGGTATCGCTTTTGATCGTAAAAGATTAAGATGCCGAACTCGGGCTGCTGCGAGCTGGTGAAAGGAAATTCGAAGAAAGCGCGATCCGATACTTGGGGATGCGGTCAGGAGTAGGAGTAGAGGTCTTCTTGACGCCATTCAGAGGTGGATCAGCGATCTCTGCCTTTGCACTGTCCGAGGTGACCTTTGTCGGTGTGCTTTCCGTCTCGATCGTCGAGTCTTTCCTGCGCTGTTGCGGTGTCGGGGTGTCCGGCGTCAACGGCGGGCTGTCTTTCGAGGCCGGCGGTGTAACACGCTCGCCATTTGTCCCACCCTCTAGAACAAGATTCAGATTCGCTGGCGTGCTCGCTGTAGATGATGCAGCAACAAGGTCATCGGAAGAGCGTTTTGTCTGCGAGAAGTGTGGCGACGTGATAATGTGAGCGTGTGGGAAGCCAAAGCCTTCGAGCTTAGCTGCCATTGCTTGGTTGTATTCTTGCAGATTGTTCGTCTCGGTAGCCGTTGTGGAGGGGATGCTGAAATCGTCATGGGTCTCATGAATGGTAGTTATTCGCGAATTGCCACTCGCTACAGCTTCGTGCGACATTGTTGGGCCCTTCCATTCGGGGTGGGGTATACGTCCGATGACATTCAGCCTGCCTGTTCCTAGTTTCGCCCATTCCCAGATGCCTCGACGCGTCGGTGATCGTTGTGGTGGTTGCACTGGTCCTCCCTCGAGCTCCCTCAATGCTTGGTCTTCAAGCTGGCTATTCTGGTGTGGGTGAGACGCGTCGTCTGAGCTTCGGCGGCGCTCTTCGAGGACTGGGCGTGACCTCTGTATCTCCGTTCCACTGCTTTGAGCCCGCTCCAGGCGTCTTCTCTCCGGCGGCGTCACTTTGCGCAGCTTTTCCCTGTCCTTCTCCCTCTCGCGAATCGCGTCGAGATTGGGTGCTTGACTGGCGACTGCCATCTCCGTCGATGTGCCAACCGTCGAGCTCGCTGGGCTTGTCAGACGACGGCGGAGAGGACCGGCGCTTCCCTCTTGTGGGCGAGCTTGCAGGGGATGAGGCGGGCGAGGCGTCTTCGGGGGAGGAGGGCGGGGAGGGCGGTTGTGCTGGTCGGAGCTTATGTAGGGGACTGATTTGGCGGATGACAGGCCGGCTTTCTTCTTTGCTGGTTAATGGACGTTATTACGCGTTTTTGACAGCAATGAGATGGCTGAAAGGGTGCTGGGAGTGGGCTTGGGAGAGGTCGGAGTCACACACCTTGCTTCCCTTTGCCCTTGCCCTTTGTGTGGCAGTTCGGGCCAGCTTCGTGGTCATGGTAGTCGCACTCATGACCCTCATCCGTTGGATCGTCGAACAGCATGCCGCCAGTGCCTGACCTGATTGCCTTGACCAGATCGATGGCGAAGTCGGGGTTGTTTTCGAAGCACTCGCGATAGGTCTCGACGTCGCGCTCACTACCAGGATCCATGATCTGGCGGGCCGCAATGCGCGTCATGAGCGTGCGGAAGGGCGACCCTGTCGGACTCTTGCGATAGATGTCATCAATCTCGTCAGCGTCAGGTACTAGCTCGGCCTCATTTAGGCCTTTTCTGTACTGATCCATCGCGACGTTCTTCAGTTGAAGCATGTCAAAGCGATCGCACAGCAGATAGAGTCTGTGACAGCTCACAGCATACTCATACTTCTGGTTGGCGTCGGCCATGTCAGAGACATCGTCGAGGCTGCCCTGGTATAGCCACTTCACCAGCAGCTCGAAGCCGGCAGGGTTGTAATCGGGAAGATCGAGGCGATCTTTCCTAGTGTGGCCGTCGGCATCGCCTAGCAGCTCGTTCTCGAGGGTTTCGGAGTGGTGGCATAGCAGATTGCGATGCAGCGACCAGTGGCGCTTGGACTCGCCTACGTAGACGTCGATCATAGGGCCGGAGAGAAGTCTATCGCGTTGCAGCTTAGCTTTGGCCCGCACATGGAGGCGATGAGAGTAGAGACGGTGGGTGAGAGCCGGGCGCACTGCGATGCATCGCGACGGCGCTTCGGGTCTTTGCGCCAGCGCCAATTGCGGTGCATCGGCAGGCGGCGCATTCTCCATGAAGTCATCCTCCTTTTCCCGCGATGTCTGCGATTGCGATGCACCCGCCTCGTCACCGTGGTCGAAGAAAGGATCGTCTACGTACTCAGCAAAAGTCGCGGCAGGCACTTCGCCGATGCTGCCAGAAGCCATCCGTGACCGTTTGGAACCCGGGATGGCAAAATCACGATGGTATTGTCGCAGAGTCTGCCACATGCAGCGCGGAGATAGCGCTCATGGATGCGCGATGGCTTATATGGGGGATAGTACGTGTCGCGATGCGGTGAGGGCTGTGAGGTGTCGTGGTGAGGTGTACCGTCCGTGTAGACGTGCTGGAGTGGAGACATCAAGGATGGCTGGGTGGCTCCTGCCCTGACGTCGTTGGCCGCCCGCCCGGGGTAGCTTCCGCATTGCCTAGGCCCAGATCATCGCCCTCACTCCGGACCTGCATCCAACAAACATCAACTCAACATCTGGAATCAGCTTCCTCAACACCGCACCGTGATACCATCAAGTCTTGTTGTTGCGCACGATGGCTGTGCAGAAGCTCATTCCGCGTACTCTCGACATCGCCGCGCTAAGCACATGTGACGTTGCCTTTTTACCATAGCTCCGTATGCTAAAGCAGGCTCGTTAAACAGGGGATGCTCTCCTTGCCGAAGAACCGCTGTTTCCGGCGACGGCAAAGTTCTGCTAATCTGAGCCTGCAATTTGGCTTTTACATATCGGTAAACAATCCGGAGAGTACATATACAAATCGACTCATTGGTTCCCTCGGCACAGATGCTACAGCCCCTCATCCTCTGCAAGACTGACCCGTGGTTCATCGCTCCACGTCCCAAACATCAACAGCATATATTTCTAACAATCTAGAGATACTTCATTTTTAACTCTACATTTCCGCCCCACCAACGTACACGTCAATCGCATCCTATCACACCATGCCACCCATGATCAGAGACAAAACATCGTTCGACGCGATCGTCGACCCTACCTCTTCTCAGAACACCCTTTCACTCAAGCGAATCTGGAGGAAAGCAATGCCACGCGCAAATCCTTCGGCGAAGCGGTCGCCTGATGGGATTTCCAAAAAGCGAAAGCTTGCATTGTACTTGTTGCCGCGGCCTCCGATCAAGTATCTCGTCACAGACCTTGTCACAGACCCCAGGAACAGGATAGCGAAGTAACTTCAATACTGTTAAAATCGGCTCGCGATCTTCGAAGGATCATCTGAGCCAATGAGAGACACACTGCACACGCCAAGAACAGCAGCCGAGACTGCTGCCTCTTCATGTCTTCTCACATCACAACCATATGCGCTCTATTCCAACTCGACGGCATCGAACTCAATGGCCAGTTCGCGGTCATTAGAACCCTCGTTCGGCTGGGAACCTTCTGATCATTTCCTTCTAGTACGTCGGATTGCACTCTACGCCTTTTAGTCCACACAGCGAGCATGAGCAAGCTCTATCGAATGCGACTGATCAAGAGCAAAAGGAGAAATGGGACCCAGAATCATTTCTACACCAAGACGAGCAAGAACGGAACCTTATCAAAGCCTGGATCCACCTCGGTTCGCGTGGCCGTTCGGTAGGATCTACCTATCCCACTTTGTGGGCACGTCCGACAATTATTTACTAACGCACGTCTTGATCAGCTTTACCGCGAGCGATGCGACGATATACCTCTTCCTCAACACATCCCTTCAAATCTGTCAGTCTTCGAGAAGCGCCGCAAAGTGACAGATTCAGGCGAATGGAATCGTGCTGCTGGTGCGATATGGATTCGAACATGGTATGGCAATGAAGCATCTCATAGGCAGAACCTGGGTGAAGAGATTGTTACACGCGCAAGTGCCGACGAGGCATATTCCCGACTATGGCAGAAAGTGACGTGCTGTCCGGAACACAACTACAACTTCGACAAAGATTTGTTTGGGCCTTTTGTGTTCGACGACAACAATGCCGCATACGGAGTGGCGGCACAGGACGCCGATGACGAGGTTGAGCTGATGGATGGTATACCACCTTTCATCTTAAGCGCTCTGGTCAGATGCCCCGACGCGATGGAAGGAAGCAGTGTGATTCAGATGATAGGTGAGGAGTACGAAAATACCCATCAAACGTTGCTTGTAGCGGTTGCAGACCGCGAGGCATGCGAAGAGGGATGGGTGTTGCTGATTGCACTTAACCACAAGGGCCAGGCGTTGCACCTTCGTGTCAGATGCAAAGCTGCCAATGTCTCACTGCAGGTGTACTCTTTCAGGATGGGAGGCGACCCGTTGGATATCACGGAAAGCGAGGAGAATGTAGTAGACTACCTGGATGCCAATCGATCAGGCGATGGATGGGATGAAGATTGACATGTTTTCAATAGCAATGGAGCGTTGTCCGGTCTTCTTATTGAGCTACTATTCTCAAAATGCCACTTGGCCATTACTTGGTGATCTATTCGAGGAACCCGTTTATAGGGTACTCAAAGAGAAGGACACATGCTCTCCGTTGTCCAGCCCATTCTTGACCACAATAACGCCATCCTGATGCACAATCACGATATCGTGGCTCCGCCGTACCTTGGCGATAAGAGGCGAGTTGCCTGTGCGCCAAACCGATGGAACGAAAAAGTGCTTCTGGAATTGGTCGAGGACTTTGCGACCGCCTTCCCCAATTTGTACCGAGCAGACCCACCCCGTCTTGGAAAGGAAAATAAGATGCCACCAGTCAAACTTTTTCACAGTACCAATGATTCTCTCCACATCGGGTATATCAGCCACATCTCTAATGGAAGACCAGCGAGTATAGGATTTGCTACGACCGCCTCCGAATGGATAAGTGAATGGGATATTGGGCGTAGCCGTTGGCGATGGGGAGATATCCAGGGTTGAAGATGGTTTGGGATTCAAGAAGACAAGAGACTGTGCCGCAGTGTCAACTGACATGTCAGGAGGCGACGACGAGCCTCCGACATCAGTCGACCCCGGATCCAGAGTGGTCAGATCAAAGACGCGTATCTTGGTCATCATACCGTCATTAGACTGGGGTCGCAGGCCGGGTACACTCTGCTGCACGTTTTGCGAGCGCTGCAGAATGACCAGGTCATCGCCTTCGCTTGAGACAGAGATTGCATCCGCGTCTGCTTGTTCCCCAGATATGCGCCTTTCGATCTGCATCGGCACCATGGGGTTCTCAGAGGCGGCGATCTGGTGAACGTCCTCCCATCTGAAAAGCCGCAGGATCTTATCCTCGAAGAGAAGCAGTTGTGACGGAGCGGATGGCCGAACAAACCATTTCCAAGATATGCGCTCGCGCCTGTCAAGCGACGCTACTTGCTTCTTGGTCGATAATGACCATATAGAGTCCGCCTCTGATGAGGAAACAAGTACGAACGAGCCCTCAGGGTGGACGAGGATCTGGCGTATGATGCAGCCTTGGCCTAACCTCGACTGGATCATCATCTCAGCACTCCATTCCCTCCGCGTGCCAGTCGTGATTTTCATGATACAAAACTTTCCTGCCGAGTCTGCACTCGCTATCACTCGCGCTCTAGGACTCCAGTCCATGCATGTAATACTAATGAAGGACCCACCATGCTTGTACAGGTTGCGCATAGTGTTCTCGGGGTCGTCGAGGTTGCAGGTATCGACACGTCCGTCGTTGCGCCCGCAGAAAGCCATACCACTTTGATCGCAACAGTGCAGCGTGGTTATGATAGCAGACTCGTTGACAACGGATTCAACAATGTCGTCTACTATTTGGTGCACAGATTCGCTAGGCTCGCTGGAGAGAGCTTCAGTGTCTTGCCCGAAGAGTACGAGTGGCTCCCAGACATTGGCTTGCGTACCCCGCGAATCCACGATGCGCAGGCTGTCGCTAGTGAAGGCGAGCGACGATACCGGATCTCCCTGTATATGTATGTTGTGGAGAGGTTGGAGTGTCTCGAAATCGAAAATCTTGATCCCGCCATTGCCGTCGCTTCCAGCAAAGGTCTTTTCGTTGCAAGAAATGGCCATCTTCGTGACGCATGTCGCAATAGAGAGAAGCGGCTTGCAAGTCATACTATCGAACTTGACCAGGATATCGTCCCAGTATGACACCAAAAGTCGTGGGTTTGCAGAGCTGGTATTAAAGACTAGACAATTCACGGCGTGGCCTCCCTTGTCGTTCTTGTGCGTCGCCGGCCTCAAGCAAGCCCCAATACGGTGCTGCTTGTCTAGAGACCACAGCTGTACCGGCTTGCTTCGATAGACTATCGCAAGTGTTTGTTGTTCAATAGATAGTCTGGCCGCAGATGGAGATGGCGCAAAACCTGAATCTGTGTCTTCAGCGAAAGCGTCGATCCAGGGAACCTGGAGCAGCGGCGAGCCATCGGCAATCCTGTAGGTCAGAACATGCTTGTCTCTGGTCGCTATTGTAACTGACGTTTCAGTCTCGTCAAAAGTCAAAGCTAGGGTTTGCGAATCGGTAGCGATATGAAATAGTTGCGCCCCAGTCGCCGCATCCCATAGTCTCAGAAACCGCAATCCAGCTGAGGCGATAAATTTGGATGTGGAACCGAACTCAAGAACCGATACTGATTCTTCATGCCTCATAGTCAAGAGGTGTTCGCACGTCGAGGTTCGATAGACATTGACCAAGCCGTCAGCCAACCCAAGAGCGAATCGTTCATCTCGAGAAGCAGCCACTGTCGCATAGGTGTCATGATAAGAGATGGAGCATATCCTGTCTCCCCAGCCTGCATTCCATGCGCCTACCAGCTTGATACCATCCTCAGCATATCCAAAGTGCCGGTATACAGCAGAGTCTCGAGGACACAGAGGCGGGACGAGTGTGTGGATAGCAGCGGGATCACTCAGGAGATTGACGCCGAACTGTGTTACCAGCCTAGGCAGATCGATAGCCCAGGCATGTAAGTCGCTTTGCAATAACGGAACATGCTTCATCCTACGGTTGAGGTAGTTCGATAGGTGTCTCGAAGTACGATTGAGACAATCCAAATCTTTGAGATGGGCCACGTGCTCGATCCAGGAAAGCACGTTGGTCTTGAAGAACTTATCCAACGTATTGAACAGTTCGTTGGATTGCGAGGACGCTCTAAGAATGTGCTCGCTGAATCGTAAACATACGTAGTCCGTCATAGAGGTCTTGCTGTGCCCGCTTGCAGTGGAGCTACGCCGTCTCTTTGAGTACCTCAACTCATCGCTCATCAGATGATTGAGGCACGCCATTGCAATAAGACTGTTTCCTTCGGCATAGTCGATTCGAAATTCTGAGTCTAGATTTGGATTGGTGAGAAAGGTGCGAGCTGTTTCGTGAACTAGCTGTATCCGCGACTGCATATCGATGTCGAGAAATTGTCCACAAAGATATTGGAGACTGGTTCGAAGATCGCGTGCTATCGGACTACCCAGCGTCAGTCTGATAGCATCCTTCATCTGGCTCACGGTCAAGGGATGGACAGCGCAAATCGCCCACGTGATTGTATGTTTTGCTGCGCTCTTTGACCTCAGCGACTCCATTTTCCGAATGTTGTGCGTGTATAGATCGTCCATTTCTTGGGGTATCTCGCATAGGACCTCGTGCACTTCTTCGACAGTGAAAACTTCCCGAAGCTGTTTGGTGACTAGAACAGTCCACAGGAAGCTACCGCCAGACATGCGAACAATCTTATCAACCAGAATTTCTCTTTCTTGAGGTGTATTGACGGGAAAGTTGGTGGACCATTTTTGAACGTACGATGAGATGTCGGCCAACAGGTCGTCTGGTGATATGAAATCTTGCACTAGAGGAAGCTGCAAGAATAGATCGTCCAACGCAGGATCTGGTCGACTGGTGACGAAGACCTTTAAGGGGATATTCTCGTCGATCCTGGAAAGAAGACTGAAATAGTCGTTCAACGGGCCTCTGTCGGCTGCCTCGTCTAAAGCATCAACGACCCAGTAATGTCTAAAGCAATTGTGTGAGTTTTGCTCTATGTATTGCTTGAAAACAGCTTACGGTTTTGAAAATGTAACGTGGAACACACAACTCGTGAAAATGGTGTTCCAGATGGTTTTCTGGTTGCGAATATCGATTGGTGGACCTTTCTGTGAGAGCTGGAAGATTGCGCTACGGATGTCAGGGTTGACCTGAGCCATCTGTAGCGCCATGGACCGAAGAAAGCTGCTCAAATTGTTGTCGGTCTTGTCACCCTTCTTGAAGAAGTAGTGACATACAGGGCTGTCTTGTAGAAATTCAATCATATAGCTTGCCAGCATTGACTTTCCTGACGCCGGTGTCCCCTTCAGCCAGAAATAGCGAGGTGCTGGAGACGACCGCCATTCCCGAAAACTGGTTTTGTTGGTCAGCCAGGAACATGATCCATTCAGTCTTGTGTCATTGAGGGTTGACAGCCTTTCGTCGGCCGAAGTATCGACGGAGAGGTACATGGCGATCTGTTCCATCTCGTTCGCCCTGCTTTGATACAGCGCTGGCAATGATAGCGGTAACGGCGCATCTGGAGTCTTGGTAACAATTGCCGGACTTGTAAAACTCGATGGTGTTACTTGTTTTCGCATTTCCAGCTTTATCTGGTCGACTGTTGATGCCAGACGGTTCCTTAGAGATCTGTAATTTGAGTCTGCGGTAGTCTCAAATTTCGCAAGATCACGATGATTTGCATTCAATAACTGAATGCGCTCCTCAGCGTATCCTATGGCAGTCAGTATGAAGTCCAAGGGTATCATTGGCTAGCAGACCTAAGGTAGCAGATTCTTGATCGACGATCATTCCGACAGGGGGTGTTGGCTGAGACTCGTAGAATGTGTGCAGATGTATGCCCGCATAGTGAATACGAAAAGAGTCGCTCAGGATACGGATGCTCTCTGACTTGGCCTCCAAGCCGGATACATACGCTCTTCGGCCACTCCCAGATAAGCGAAGGAAATTGTTCAAAACACCAGCGAGATTCGAGCCTCGGTGGGGAGTACCCAAGAAATACAACGAATGTAATCGGTTGGCGATATCGATGTAATCCGGGTTGGTTTTAGATAAGACGCACGCCTTCTTGATAACTAGACCGCCCATACTATGCCCTATAAGCACAATACGACTATCCAGATTGTGGATCTTTGGATCGCTCCTAAGCTCTTCGACTAAAGACTGACCAAAAGCATGGATATCGACTGGACTCTTCAGCCAGGTGGCCCAGTTCGCGTTGTACCCAAAGCTATGAATGCGGACTCCCCTAAAATCTGGGTCTTTGGGCAACCACTCTTTTGGCCAAAAGTAGTCAGCGTCTTGCTTTAGACACCATGTCGTACTAGAGCCACCGCCGAGACCATGAACGAAAACAAAGTCGGCGATGACTGGCGTGATGTCATCCGGTTCGTACACAGTGTTCAAGCCAAACTCGTTTCTTGGCTTCTCGACTTTGATCGTAGATTTGCGACTAGAAAACGATCGAAAGCTGAATCTTCGACTTAAAGACGAGCCGAAAGATGCGACGCTAGCATTACTGGTTGTCGCAGCTCTCCGCTTTCCGATACCTCTATCGAGGTCGGGGAGATCGCCAATGTCCTACAGTATTGGATTAGTCACCTGTGAAACTCAAAGCTTTGGGCACTTTACGTCATCCATTATATGGAACTATGTCATAGAGAGCTTTTGGTTATCATGTTGCTAAGGCTTGCAAGGAGGATGGATGGGTCTCTAAAGATGTGGAGACGCTGAGATTGAGTGGGGTTGAAGATGAGAAACGATGGCTGGAAGGTCAGGATGGTGTATATAGGGCGATGTAGACTGAGAATTTCCCCGAGGCTGAAATAAAGCAACCTACAGCGGTGAGACAAGACACGATCGCGGGGCGGAGATGACCTCGGGAGTCTGAGCAGACAGCCGCAGAAGCCTTGGCATTGAGCCAGAGCCTGGGTAATGGGTCAGACGAAATAGTCAGCGCAACAATACATTATCGCCTTCCTAATTGCGTGTAATGGAGGCGAAACGAATGCGCATATGTGGCGTGTACCGGTGAGCGCTTGCAGAGAAGAAGACATTGGATGGCACCTGGCAGCCGTTCCTTCTCACATGCATCCTGCATCCTCCATTGGTCAACCAATCGGTATTGAAGTCCCATGTAACACCCGACCTGTGGAACATCACCCCGAATAATGACCCCACTAATGCCCCCCTTCCTCCAGATTCACGATTCACTGAGTCTTCTAAGGCCATTATTTATAGTCAGTGCTAGCTCCAAAACTACCGTCGAACGACATCACCTTGGAACCCTTCACGAACTCGCTTTCAAGCATGACGGAAATTGCTTGGATACCAGAGCCAACGAAGCAAGTTACGGCGCAGGCTATCGATGTAGACGAAGCCATTGTCGAACGTAAGGGAGTTCCTGAACTGCTGAGAGGAACTTGACTGATCGCCACCGAGAACTACCGCCGGGATGCAAAGTGATGGGAGCAAAGTCACATGGCGCTAGCTTCTGGACGCGAACTGCTCGAATCGATGTGAAACTAGCCGATGGAACACCAGAAAAGTATTTCCTCAAGGTCTCCAGTGGGGACTTGGGCATGAGCATGCTGAGAGGTGAATATCATGGCGTCAAAACCTTACATGCGTACACTCCAGGTAAGGAACCTTGGTAAATGAAGAATGACATAGTTCTGACTCCATACGTCAACATGTAGAAGGAATACCTCGTCCCATTGCTTGGGGCACATACAAGTCCGACTCAAGCATGCACTTCTACCTAGCCGAGTTTATGGAGATGATCGAGGATCTCCCCGACATTCGTAAATTCTCTGCCATGCTTGCTAAGCTCCACCATGACAGTATGATGAACCCGAAAGCACCTACGAAGTTCGGATACCATGTCATGACCCACGAAGGAAGCATGTACCAGGACCTGACATGGAGTGACACATGGGAGGAGCTCTACAGCCGGCGCTTCCAGTCGTTCGTCGACCAGGAGATAGTATCGCAGGGTCCAAGTGAAGACATTGAACGGCTGGTGCTTGGTCTCAAAGAGAAGGTTATCCCCCGACTTCTTCGACCTATGAACACTCATGGTCGAAGTCTCAAACCCGTTGCACTCCATGGTGACATCTGGTGCGGTAACATAGGTACCAATGCAGCTACCGGTGATCCAGTATACTTTGACCCATCCGTATTCTGGGGTCATAATGAATGTAAGTCGTCGCCAGAGCTTTTAACTCGCATTAGAACTGATCTGGTGATCTCCGATCAAAAAGATGACGTTGGCAGTATGGCCACCCCGCGCTACAAGCTTGGCCGACAATGGATGCGAGAATATCACAAGTTCTTTCCGATAACAGCGCCCGAAGATGACTACGAGGACCGCAATCTTCTTTATGCTATGTAAGCGAGCCAGCCACGACCAATGTCTTTGCCGCTAACGTTGCGAAGAAGCGGACACTTTTGCGCCTCTGCCCTGTACTCGGACAACAACAACTTTCGAAAGATGTGCGCCCCTACTATCCTTACTACGTACAAATCCACTGACACACAGCAGGGCCATCGTGGATATGCAGCGGCTTCTGGATAAGTACCCCGACGGATATCAGGGAGAATGAGACATGTGTTCGTGACGTCCGAGATGTATGAAAGACTGGCCAGAGACTCTCTTTGTTGCGCGAAGTGTGACTTTATATCTTACCTAGTGAGCTGTTAATCCATTTCGAGCGAGTCTCCACCTTCGTCCAAATCTTAGCTCGATGAAGTAAAAGCAACCAGCAACGAGGCAAAACAAACTCATAATGAAGAAGGTCCAGCCAAAGCCAATGGAATCTATGAGGTTTTGAAGTACGGCGACCATGACGGTGGAGAGCGCACAGCGAACGATATTGGATGAAGCCTGAGCTGTCGCTGGCATGTCCTGATTGATATCAACCAATAAAGTGTTGTTGATCTGAGACAGTCAGCAGTGGGCTAACGTGAACTCTGTGGTTGAGGGCCTTTACGTTAAAGCAAGTCTGGATAGAAAGGCCTGCAACGAAAAGACAGACCAGAGGCCCTGCGAGGTGCTAGGGCGTGTCAGCCAATGGATGACAAGTTGCGCGGCTTTACTCACTAGACGCTCATTGACCAGCCACCCATAGGCCAAGACGGAGGCAAAAGCACAAAATGCGGGCGCAAATGCGCTTCTCATGCGAGCTTCTTCAATGGGAAAATTCAACAAGTCATCTCCAGACATTTTCACCACGGGCAATCCATGGGCCTTCGCCACAATACGATAGTCTCGGTCTATCCACTTGCTAGAAATCAGAGTCGCAATAATCGCGCCGACGCCAAATGGAAGATAGGATAGGCCCACTTGCCATTCTTTGAGATGGTAGACTTGCATAAAGGTTGTCGACAATGATGTGTGAATGCAGCAGTACACAGTGTACAAGAAACTTCCAGGCATGATGCTTACAGCCACATCTTTGCGTGATAATACGCGAAGACTCCTGATTGGGTTTGGTATTCTCCTCGCTTGCGAAGGTGGAGGCGGAGTGCTCGGACCGCGCTGCCCTTCCCATGGCCGCATAATACCACGGATAACAGGCTGCAATAGCCGAGAAGGTGCGATGCCGCCGTTCCCGATGATGCTTCGATTCGTCTCCGGTAAGGCTAGGAACAGTGTGACCAGACAAAAGCCGGAAACGATGGCCAAGAATCCGAATATCCACCTCCAACCAGGACCCGAGGCGAATGCGCCACCTATGACCGGTCCCAGGCTCGGCGCAGTGGTGACTCTGACGCGTGTTAACAGAAGCTGGTATAGGTTGCCACGCTGTGTGACGATCCCACTCACCCAAATGAAACAGCAGATACGAAGGCACCCCTCTCACTTGGCGCTGAGATGTCGGCGATAACTCCATATGAGACGGAAAAGGTGCCTGTATCCGGTTCATAGCTGTCAGCTTGTTGCACGGCTATGGCGGGTGACCGTCAAGAACCTGGTAGGGGCCACATGCCAGATATCCCTGCACTTTGCACCATGCGCAGCAGTAAGAGTGCCACAGCTGAACGTTGCATTGCAATCCCGACGTTTGCGGCGACATACAGCAGCAGAGTCACTACGTAGACAGGTCGGCGTCCAAACATGTCAGCTGCATCTCCGACAATCGCGGGAGCGACGGCAGATACGACCAAGTAGGAGGTAACGGTAAGGTTGATCATTGTAATCGATGAGTCCAGATCCTTGGCAACCATTGGAAGGGCAGGATAGTAAATGAAACTGCTCAGAGTTGAGAACCATGCTGCCAATGTAATCATGGCTACAATTCCATATCGTTCATTCTTGGTGAAAAGCGAGTATGGTACCGATGGGTGCTGCGCGGCTGAATCCTGCAGAGTCTGGCTCGTTGCTGGTTTCTCCGCTTCCTGATCATCAGTAGTAGTTTGAGAAAACATGACGGCGGGAGGAAGAAGCCAAAGTTGATTCGTTGAGTTGACCGGATTTGCTTTCGAATGAAGTTGAAATATCGCGTTTAGAATTCGATGACTCCGAAATGAGATTGGGGGATAGGGCCGAGTACGATTCACAGCCTCCAAGACTGCCTGCTATCTATGTAAGCCGCATAAGGGAGGTTTTGACAAAACGGATACCGCGTCGATACTTCTTCACGCCGGCGGGCGGGTGGCACAGAAGCGGGGTTTGCCAACCCCAGCCAATAGCAATACGTGACGCCGCATGACGCCGTGAACATCCTCTGATATTCGATCCATTGGAGTATGGATATGTCAAATGTCTTGCGTGACCTGTCTGGTGCTCACTCAACAAGTATAGATTGGGGTCCTCACTTGACACCCCACTTCCAAGGTTTTGCCGGCTTGTAGACCCACCAGCTCAACCCACTGCGATGCCGCCCGCTTATTGGGAGGTGCAAAGCGCGCCAAAAGTTCATGAAGGTGACGTCGAGCTTGATGAAAATATCATCGCAGGTGTGCCTACTTTCTCCTCCGTGACACAAGCTTCTTTTGGCGCTGTGGGCTGACATACCTGCGTACAATCCAGTACTGCCACCAAATGCGAAAATCAAGAGATCTCGGGGCCATGGCGCGAGTAATTGGAATACAACAGCGCGTGTAGTCGTCGATGTAGATGGGAAGGAAGAATCTTACTTTCTTAAGGTGAGTTGCCGTACCGGACCGCCACTGCGCTATGCTCAACGCGATTTAGTTACAAGACGGCCCGACTGGCGGCGAAATGTTCCACGGTGAATTCGAGAGCATGAAGATGATCAACGACATTGTCCCAAACTTTTCACCGAAACCTCTATCGTGGGGCAAATGCAAGAACTCGGCTCGACACTTCATTCTCTTTGAGTACCACGCGCTGCGCAAAGGACATCCGCCGATCCAAAATTTCACCTATGCGGTATCCCAACTTCATACACTCAGCGTTGACAAAAACCTGCACGGCAGATTTGGGTTCCATATCACGACGTACAATGGTACGCTCGCACAAGATAATGCCTGGACTGACTCATGGGAGGAATTCTATACCAGAGGTATGCAGCGTATGCTGCAGATAGATGCCGAAGCGCGTGGTCCAAGTGATGAGATCGAACGATTAGCAGTGCCACTACTTGAAAAGGTGATACCGAGACTTCTCAGGCCTTTAGAGCTCGGCGGTCGGGAGATAAAACCAGTGCTCATTCACGGAGACCTCTGGCTTGGAAATGTGTCCGTGAAAGATGGATCCGATGATCCTCTCATGTTTGACGCTTCGGCATTCTGGGGCCACAACGAATGTAGGTGATGCCCGATATTGAACCTCAGTCTCTGCACCAATGGTTCCCATACAGCAATTCTCTCGAGATGTATATGACAACTGCTGAAAGGCCTTCAGATGAGCTTGCAACTATGCGCCTACTCGAAGATGACTGGGGCGAGGAGTGTTTGCGAAAGTACCATGAGTGCATACCGAAATCAGCACCAGAAGAAGATTGGGACGCTCGTAATGCCCTTTACTCCATGTGAGTGATAGCTTTGATAGGCTCTTCCCGGGTGCAAGATAAGAACTCACACTTCATAGACGTGTTATCATCCATGACTCAGCGCTATACCCGGATTCACCACATTTCAGGGAAACGTTAGCACCATCTCCTATGACCCCATAGTCCATGACTGACGAATGTAACAGCCTGATCAAGGAGATGAGGAAGCTCGTAGAGATGTTCCCCGAAGGTTGGGTTGAGGCGAGTGGATAAGGTCGAGCCATAGAACGCCAGTGGCGAATTGTTGAGCGAACATTCGCGGAGTGATGTGAGGCTTGCGTTGGTCTCGAGTTGATGGTTGCACTGCGCAGTTGACACTGCACTACATGTCAGAATTGAACGTCAGGGACACCGAGTCTTCCAACTCCTATTGCCACGCGTAGTGCTCGTTGTTCAGCCACAACGGTATCTCGTCACTGACCCCGCCATCTGCATTGTACCAAAGCAGGCTAGCGATACTGTCGTTCTCCCGTTCCACGACTTCGAGCTTTAGACCACTCCGAGCCAGCATGTCTCGAACCAAGGGTGTAGGATCCCAGAGCTTGACGACATCGAGTTTCCATTCCGTGGCTTCGGCCTGGGCTGCCTGCAAAACCGCCCGAAGGTATACTGCCTGCTGCTCGTACATGGCAGGCTCAGGCAGTTTTGCTGCATCGGAAGATAGCCTTGTTGCAGTCTCATCGACCTCCATCACTAGCCGAAGTATGTATAGCACGTTGCGTGACGTACTTGCGTCAGGATGACTGTAATATCGATGCGTCCAAAGTGCCCAGACTTGGCTGCCGGACGGGCCAGCTATCGCTCCTTTCGCATTGGGTATCCGGTCAAAGAGGTGTTTCGTCGCAAACACTTCTTTGGATATGTGCCAGAGCATATGGTCAAGACCTGGGATGATCGTAAAACGAGTTTTCACCTCTCGCGTGGGTATTGCCATGCGAGACCGAACCAAGTCTTCGTCCCGCTTGCACAAATCTCCTATCTCTTCCTCGATAACTGGTGTAGCCGGCGAAGGCCACGCGATGGCGCAGGGTTGCAGCTCCATGTGCGAATTGGTGGAGTTTGGGAGCCAGCCTAGTTTCGCATAGAATTCTTTGCCAATGTCGGAGTACAGCGTGCTTCCCACACACGGCTGCCCTTCTGCTTGCCACGTATGCAAGGTCCTCGCTAACTCACGCATCATACGCGCCGCATACCCTCTGCCGCGGTACTCGCTCGGGGAGAAGACGCTGGCCACACCATGCACAATGTTCTCGCTGATAATACCGCTGGTATCGCTCGTGAGTGAGCGCTTGGAGAAGCTCTCGCAAGAGCATAGTATCCGACGCTCGCCTGGACCTTGATCCTGGTGGACCAAGATCCATGTTGTCATGCCTCCATCGCGGGCTAAAGGGACCGTGGCGAGCCATTGACCTTCTTTCAAGTATTGTGCGAGTGAAAGCGAGTCTTTCCACTCGATGGAGGTATTGATCGAGATCGTCGTGCACTCTTCTTCGGTAGGGTGCCGAAGGACGAGGTGGGGGCTATCGGAAGGCGGCAGGTCTTCTCTCGAGAGGTCGGCCATGGTAGTGGCTCGTTCGTGCGCGGTGTGAAATATGCAGTCAGGTAGCTTAGTATGGCATATTGGACATGCGCTTGCGATGTAGGAGGGGTGCCTTGAAGGCGGGGCTTTCAGCTACATCCATGTCCCAGGCCATACTTAGGGCCGAGAGCGACGATGGCGGGATAATTTGATCGGATCAAGTATTCCATACTAAACCAACACCTAGCGTCGCAGCATGAAGTGTGGCTGATGATTCGGGGTGCGCGTATGGGACGTGTGATGCGAAGGGACATCGGGGGCACCTTGGGAGCGCGTGGGCGAGCCCTGAGACGCGTGATTGACGCGCTAAGCAAGCACGTGATGATCGTCATCTCATGGGTCTCGCGCGTGTCTCCTGTCGCATGCGGCGCATGCCCGCGCAAGAGGACAGCCACGAGTGGGACCCTCCATTCCTTAACGACACTCTCCATCTCCCAACATGCACAACATGCGGTCACCATGCGCATGCACTGAGTAGTACAGGCAGCTTTACTCTTGTCAAGATGCCATTACCCAGTACCTTCGCCAACACCTCGGGAAGCATACATGCGCGCGCACGACCATGCCCAACAGCGACGGCAACAACAACGCTTCCAGCAGTAGAGGCTCGGGTTTATCAAGCGCAATAGCAGCGTTGTATACACCTAGCAGGCTAACGTCTAGCGTCTAGCCATCTCGTAATCACCTTCACTTGCCGGCCGACATCTCCACACCGAAGTACGACGATTATACAACTTCGAAGCCTCTATCACCCTGTTGTAACGCTATCTACTCCGCGCCAGCAATACGATACGATGTGAATCTCTATATGAGTCTCTGTCCTTGTTGTCTTCGACAGCTTCCAAGCTTGTTCGAACAAGATGCTGCTGCCGCTGCGTATGGTGGCAAGTCACACCGCAGACACGGCCACATGGAAACATAGTGGACGACGTCGTAACACTTGAAGAACATCGGAGAATGGGAAATATACTCCTGGCCTTAGGGGAACCAGGGAAAGCTAGCACACACGACAGTTGAACGCTAGGGGGAGACTAAAGGTAGTGCAGCCGCAAAGCATGAGACAACCGTGCCTCTACGGGCCTTGAGAAACGTTACACATACGAGGCTTCGAGCACAGCATACAAAAAGGAAGATAATCTGAGGAACACGAACACAGGCAAACACGTCACTTCTAGAGATGCAATGTACATAGTTCTAGACAGAAGCCAGACAACGCTGGGCCTCTGGGGATAGATGGTTCTTGCGAGAGTGAAGTAGGGCGGTGCGGACGCGAGTCTGCACCGTGTCGGCTGTCTGCCGCGCCTGGCATCTGGGCACAGCTGCGCATTCGCAGCTGAAACTGTGTAGGTAGGTCTTAACCAACCACCCAACCAAACCCCGTACAAACCGGGCATTCGGACCAATTTGAGTACTCTTTGACATATTTGTTACCGCTGCAACTTCCACATGGGTTGGTGTACCTAGTGATCCATCCCTGCTGACAAGAGCCACATTCTCGTTGACCATAGCAGTTTGTGCATTCGTACTGATCAACCTGATACCCCTTTCCCTCACATCCTCCACACTCAACGTCCTGCTCTGTGGTACAATTAGGGCATTGTTTCGTATTGCCCATTGTCGAGTCTCGCTTTAGGGAAATGATGGGTTACAGCGGGCTATGCGAAGACAGGTGACTTGTTGAAGACTGGTGCCTGTGCTTGTTAGTTTCGAGCCTATCATAAGCTGGTATTGGGTTGAACTGCTACGAACTCTCTCTCTCTGTTATGCGTCCCCTTGAAATGATAAGTGAAGTCCAAGATATAGGTCGCTATGAGACGTTGTACTCAAGTTTGTCTACGAGCTGGGAGGTATATAGGTGTAGTCTTCAGCCATCCTGACACCATTTAACTTCACGCCCCCGCCTTGGAATCAAAAATAGCCATAGATCGGCGATGAACATCACTGGTCGCTGCCCTTCTAGTGGCGGAAGCTTTGCTGTTACACAGCATATGAAGCATGCGAAAGCACTGCAAGCTGACATGTTACCATATTAGTGGTCGCAAGTACCGGTCAATGATATGCGCTGTCTGATTTATACTCAGCCTGTCACTGCTGTAAACCATACAATGCCTAGTACCCCTTCTCGGGACATACGGTGTTCTTGGCTCGCTAAACCTTCGATGCTTTTGACGGCCTGCTGGCCCTGATTCTGTGCAGCCTGTTGCGCCATCGCAATGTCATGACGCTGGCAGCCCACAGCTCCCTGGCCTTCTCCATCTTGGAGCGGCTCCACAAGCTCTGAAAGTCTTCACCATGCGTGGCACCCCGATTACCCAAACTTTGATGTCCACGTATGTAATAGCATTTCTCGTACCAGAGTTATTTCGCTTAAGAGCTGGAATTGCTGGCGAAGTCGATTTAAGACCAATGCCTATCGTCGTCAGTACTAGGAGAACTACTACTAAGGTAGCGAAATTTCTGTGCGGCTTTGTGGCAATGGCTCCCGTCTACCCAACCAACATCTTGCTTGCGTATCTCCACGTAAATTACATCGTTCCTGTTACGCATTGGGGTTTACTTCTCCCCCTTTGCATTTACATGGCATTTTGCTTCTTCGTGGAGTACCTAGTACGGCTACTAAGGTCTCAAACCCTCACATCGCCAGTTGCTCGTATCACGCAGCTGTTGGGCGGAGATATCGAAAAGTTTCATCGCAAAATAATCGGTACCCCAAAGAAGCTGTTCACTCTAGTCGCGGTGAATTCAACACTACAGTCTCCCCCTCTCTTGATTGGATTTACTCTGTACTTTATATCGCTAATTATGGCGGTAATTGTAGGGCTGGTAGTGCTTGCATTGATTGCGACAGCTGCGCCTGACACTGATGAGTCACCACATGGGGATGTCATGCCACCGCTAGTTGCCTATCCCTTCATATACTCTCTAGTCATTATCTTTGTGTTTTTATCAATCCCCGTGATATCTTTACTTCTTTATGGTGTGCTTTTCGTTGGCTTGTCGTCGAAGACCCCACGAAGACTGACGGGTATCAAAGGTTCGATGGGCGAATTTATAGCTGGATACTTGACACTATGTAGTCTCTTCACGGTGCTCTATATGTACAGTCAATTGTGGGCGTCGGAAGGCACACACAAACCTGCTTGGGCCGATTATCTCGGCTGATGATTACAACATCAGAACAGTGCCACCAAGAATGGTTATTGGGTAGTGCATGTTCGATAGATATTGGATGCTTGCCACTGCTGTTCACTCCCCCAAAGGATGCCATGTTCAACACGTCATCCAATTTCATTTCTTCATACTACCTGCCCACTGCTCTCCAACCAAACCACACTCCTCGGACTACCCACAATCATATCACCAACCCCCACTGTACTACTCCTCACGTCCGGCACAACCATAACACTCTCCCCATAGCTCAAGTAATCAATCTCGCAGTTCAAGATTTCAGCTTCCGTGGTACTTGACTTGCCCTTCTCCTCCTCCTTTGGCTTGATCTTCGCGCGGATATCCACATTTGGCAACAGCGTATTGCCCGACTTGAGCGGAATGAGCATAATGAGCCATTCATGCTCTTCGTCTTCCTTGGCAGTGAAGTGCGCACGTCGTTGACCGGCGACGAGCCAGACTTCAGGATTCGCGTCGATGGTGTAGACGAAGTCAATGGGCTCACTGACTTCGGCGAGGTTGGCGGCGGAGAGGAGACTGGACGGTGAGGCCCAGCGGCGGGTGTGCGAGATGCGAAGGGTGGTCATGATAGGCTGGCCGACGGTTGCGATCGTGGAATGGGAAGAGAACGAGGGCGAGTTCAAAGATAGGGATGCGGTATGCAGGATGTGGGTCTGAGGGATTGAGACTGTGATGACCATCCGCCGGGGTGGGTTTGGCGATGGCGGAGCGGTCGATTGCTGTATTGTATCGGCAGTATCGTCTTCGGTGAGCAGGATGGTTCGGTGTTTCTGTCAAAACATTAGTATACACGTTCCACTCGAAGAATACCAGTACTTACTTCATGCCACTTCTGCAGCCAGGTCTGTGTGTCATCACGGACGACAAGCGGCAAACTTTCCAAACAGTCTGCCCACCCAACCTCCTCGAACGCACCTAGGTCGAGCCTCTGCAGCAACGCGATCTTTTCGTATTGCGGTGGCAGGATATGCTGCTCCAGTTGACTAGCAAAATGGTCGGTAAGCAAACGAGCCAGTCGATGAACTGGACTATCTTCCACAGCCTCAGCAAACATCACCCGCACTCGTTCAAGAACGTCTTCGTTCAAGCACCTGTACTCAACAGCCAACGATAAACTGCCGGTGGTGGAAATTCGACTTTGTCGCTTCTTGGCAGCGTCCATCGTTTTCTTAGTGACTTTGTATGTCACGGCGACAGGCTGCTTCGGGAAAACATTGACAGCCTCTTTCGGACGCCTTGGCGCATGGACGTCGAACTCTTCTGATCCTTCTAGTGCGACATCTAGAAGCTTCAGCGGCACATGGTTGGCCGTCTTGATGTTGAATTTTGAGAACAGTGATTTGCTCTTGAAGTGATCGTGGACGTTGACATCTAGAGGCAACTCAACGGGGATAACGAAGGTGGAGGTGTACTGAAACTGGCCGTTGGCAGTAAAGTAGTCGACGTCGATCTTGACAGTAAGATCCTGCAATATCGTTTCCATATCGTAAGGCACCTTCAATGTCGCTGTAGTTTCCGCCGGCATGGCCCCAATAGCGATGACTCCCGGCGTTGGCTTACTATCATCGATCTTGATCTCTCCTGAAGCCACGCTTGCATTTGCGGTTCGCAGTCGTAAACCTGCAGAGGCGGACTTCAGGCGGACTTCTGCGCGTGTGATCTCGTTCCAGCCAGCTGAGCACTCGACCTCTATGTGCCGCGGCTTGTCAATATGGATGAAGTGCGAGAGATAGATTCGGGCTTGGAAGGATTCGCTACGGGGGAAGCACAGTATCCGAGCTTTCTTCGCGGCT